TACTGATTTTCCATAAAAGTTATACGTTATAAAACTTAATATTTTTATGGAATTTTTATATCAAATTTTTTATTGGATAGTATCTTATCCCAAATTTTAAAAAAAAATACGTTATTGTTGTTCTTTTAAGGTTCTTAATAAGAATCTCAAGAATGCAGTCCTTACATATTTTAGTTTTGACAAAGCATTAGAAACATTTGGGGTTAAATTTATTAAGTAACATGTTAATGGAAATATAATAAATGAAAAGAACCTTAAAGATCAAATTAAGGGTATCTAAGATGAAAGAGAGAGAATCGATCTTTTAATGAGTGAATATCTTGGGGATCATTCTATCTTGAGTGACAAATGAGCTGTTAAATCATACAAAGAATCTCTGTAAAAGCTTGTGCATGATCTTATTAATATTTTCAGAATGGAAAATCCTTTGTCTTATTCATTGTTTCAGAATTATTCTCCTACAGAAATACATAAAGAAGAACTTGATCACCTAATTGCATGTTATCTAGACAGATTAGAACGAATTAAAAAAGTGTATCTTCAAGAAGTTTTAGAAGTAGAGCAAAAAAATACACAGGGCAGAAGAGTAATTAGAGTTGTTAAAATGAAAGTAAGGAATTATAGTCAAAAAAAAGCAAAAGAAAAGAAGATAATAATTAAAAATCAACATTTAATAAATTATACCAAATCTGCACAAATTGTGATAGCTGAAGGTTCTAATAAACGAAAATTTAATTTGAATGAACCATATCCCCATGATACAACTGAACCACAATTTAAAAAAAGGAAAATAATGGGTAGTAGACATCACACTACTAAAGATGAAATGGATATACTTTTGTGTTAAAAGTTTATAAAGATAAACTTTCAGATAATGCTATTTCTAACGTTCATAAGCATTTATCAGATGTTTGCACCATAAAAAAAGTGCGAGAATGGTAGTATTACCATAAAGATAAATATAATATATATATAAATTCTCTAAAATAACAAGAATAATTAACCTTTTCTTGTATAAATACATTTCTAATTAAGTAATAGAATCAAAAATGTGTAGTAATTACAAAACTTACTATTATAATAACTTTTTATCCAGTAAGCAATTCAATTATGCTTATAAAAATACGCATGCTTGTACGTTTAAAATAGATTAAGAGAAAATATAAACTAACATCTCAATGTCAAAGTTAAAAAAATGAGAAAAAGTTAGTCATATATAAGATTTTTGTACAAGTGTTATATTATAAAGAAAAATATACAAATAGGAAGCTAAAAACCTTTAGATTAAGTTATTTTTAAGGTTCTTTGGTAATTTACTTGAAGTAATATCATGTTGTATTAGACTGTTAATTCATGATTTTTAACATTATACAAAATTTTAATTAATGATCGGCAAGTGATCTGAAATGATCACTGATTATTATTAAAAGATTTATCTTGATATTTCTTAATTATTATTGAAAGTTTCATCTTGATGTTTCTTATATTGATTTTGATCATTATAAGATTCATTATATTCTTTAATAAAATAATCATTTTAAATAGTAATACAGTCAACTCTTAATATAGCAAACTCTTAATATAACGAATTTTTTGAATAAATATAAAAAAATACTTTTATTATAGCGAATTGATCAATCAAATCTCTTAAAATCTTCACTATAACCTTATAACGAAATTGAGGTTTAGGACATAGAGTTCGTTATAATAAGAGTTGACTGTAGAAGTTAGATAGCTTTTTGATTAAAAGTAAGAGATATATAATTTTTTAGACATTTTTTTTCAATATTTTTCATAGGATTATCACTTAAGAGAAATTCTTTAATTACAGTTCAAATATAATTTCTTAACATAATTTATTAACCAAATTAATTGAGTCTTTATAATCTGATTCGTATAAATCAGTTAAGTTAGAATTATCTTTATTAAAATAATAATCTGAATTATTATCATTAATTGATTTAGTTATCAATTTTTTCATTTTATTACTAATAGTTTATCTAAACTAGTAAATATTAAAGTATCAGTATTTACTAATAATATTATTAAATAAATAAAAATTTACTTTAATTAAAAAGATTTTTTTTTAAAAAATAATATTTAATTTATTAAATAGTAAAAACTTACTATTAATACTTATTATTGAAGAAAAAGTTATTCTTAAAGAACTTATAATATTATTATTTGAAAATAAAGGAATTGAAAAAGAAGAAGTAATTATCTCTAAAAAATGTGTATTTGCTACATCTTTATTATACTATTTAATAAATCTTTCATTACAATTCTTGATAAATCTTATATTATGATTCTTAATGAATCTTATATTATGTTTCTTGATAAATCTTATATTATATCACTTAATATATTTGCTATTCTTATTATCCTTGTTAAATTTTTATTACTTTTAATATGTTAGTTATACTTCTGTTAGTAATAACCTGTTTACATCACTAAATGACTGTGTTAGTTAATATTACCAATGATTATTAGAAAAAATTGTGATCATTATTTTCATTAATTTCACTATTATTATAGTTATCGTTATAATATTTATTATATTTATTATTATATTTATCATTATTATATTTACTTTCATAGTTATATTTATTTTCTTTATTACATTTATTATTTCTATCTTATAATTGTATTTTATATAAATATCCTGTATTGTCACCTTGACAAACTAATAAGTTTTTATTGTACAATTAATAAATTATAATCTTAACAATGTTAAAATTATATCTTTGTAAATATCTAATTCCTTAAAATATAAATCATCAATAAAGATGACCTGACTCTTCAACTTAAATAAATTCATATTTATTTCTTTCATAGTTTACAACTTAAAACTTCCTATTAGCAAATAAGCTTTGTTATCCTAATGATGTAGTGTAAAAGCCTAATAAGTGGTAATTCCTACCAGGAGAATCTTTATTGAAGATATACACAATGAATTACTAAAAGACTAGCGAGATGTATAAATTTTGAGGAACTTGAGAAAACTACATTAGAGTATATAGTTAGGCACTACTTAGATGAACTTCTTAACTAAGATTATACTTATAATTGGTATTATCTACCCCTTCATTTGAAACTCTTTTCAATAGTTTTAAGAATTTCTGAAACTGATTTAGACGTAAATATTAAGCAGACACTTTACCTCAAAAACTATCATTGCCTTTAACTTATTTGAATAACTTAGTGATACTCTTGAAACTGAACATTGTAATTCTCACCTAATAAGAGTTATTTATCAGTTACTTTTCAGCATTCAATATCATATTCGACCTTTTTCAGTATATGTAATATATTTATACATACAAAGCATATCCTTTCGAATAAATTGTTTTAAATAACCTATTATTTTATCTATTTTTTCAAGAGTATATACTAAAATCTTAGAATAAAATCTAGTAAGACCTATAGCAAATCGATAATTACTACAACAGCTTGTTGTTTCTTCAACATCTAGCTTATCAAACTCATTTCCTAATTCATCTCCAGTCGAAACTGAAATAATGATTGCATTAGAAAATGAAATAAAAGCCATTTTCAAAAAATTTTTTGGAAATAATGGATAACACTTGACAGATATTAGCGAACGACTCTAATTAGCTTAGAGAAGAAAAAGATCTACTATTAAAATTAACTATTTCTCAGGAGCTAAAAATGAGGATCCTATAAAATGGTTTACTACTTTTGAAAGAACTACCATTACTAATAAATAGATCACTAAAGTATGAAAGAAGGCCATTGCTGAAAAATACTACAAAGGTGTAGCTACTGATTAATTTAATAGTGTAATTACTAAAATGTGAGATAATTGAAATACTAGAACAAATGGTAAATAAAATTTTGTAGATCTATTTAAAGCTCAATTTATTAATAAGACTAAAAAAACTAATAGTACTAAGAGTTAACTTTTCTGTGATAACAAATGGATGAATCTGTAGATTCCTATACTAACAAGTTTAAGAAATTAGTGACTCATATAGGATTAACTGATGATGCACAGAAGGAAAGAATATTCTTTATTAGACTTAATCCTATCTATACTCCCTTAGTTTATTCCCAATATCCAACTAATTTAGATGCTGCTGTAAATTCTGCACAAACTATTAAAATTGGATATAATTTCACTTCTGGAAAAGCTTCCAAAGATATTAGCATTACTATAGTTTCTACTTCTAAAAATGTGATTACCAATGCTAAAGTAAATGAACTCACTAAGAAATTAGAATAGCTGTCTATCAACTATACTAATTTGACGACTGTTTTATTAGCTCAACCTCAACAATCATCAGGAAGACGAATAGAATGAACCTATAATGATGCTACTAGGAGTTCTAGACAAAATATATCTCTTATGACTTATTACAATTGCAATAGAGAATGACATATAGCCAGAAATTGCTCTCAACCTCATCAGCAACTAAGAAGAATTAATAGAAGACCCCGTTATGATGACATAAAAGATATACATCTGGTTGATCAATATTATGAAGAAAAATATGATAATGAGGAATATACTTTAGAAGAATATTATAAGAAAAATGAATATGAGGTCTACCTAAATATTAGATCTAGACCTTACCCAAGAAATGCTGTATCAAAAATCAAAATCCACTTAAAATAAAAATAACCATTGAAAAATTAAACATAAAAGAACCTATACCAGAATCAGTGACTGAACTAGTTAGAACTGAAAAAGTGTTAAAAGCCCCTAAAAGAAGATTGTTACCTGCTTCTATTGAACAACTGACTGAATTTAATTTTTCTACCTATTTGCAAAATTTATCTTGTGAACTATCAGTAGGATAAGCTGCATATACTATTCCTAAATATTGTTCTAGTTTAGCTCAAACTGTCAGATTTTTAAGAAAAAGAGCTACTAATAAAATTAAGAAAGCTAATCTAGTGAAAATAATGACGAATTAACCTCTATTATAAAATGTACTTTGAGAATTGAACAAAAAGCTCAAACTGCAATCATCAATGGTGGAGCTGCTATCAGCATTATAACCAAAGCCTTAGTAGAAAAATTGGGATATGAGATAAATTGACCTTTGAAAATGATAGTAGTAATAGCAAATGGTGTAAGAACCTGTTCTCTTGGAATCATTGACAATATTCCAGTAAATATTAGAAAAATTAAGATATCTATATCTTTTTAAATACTCAAATCTAGAGATGAAATTCTTATACTCAGAAATGATTGGCTCAGAATAAATAATACTATAATAAGCTGAAAATAATCCATCCTTACCATTAAATAAGATGGAATTACCATGAAAATTCCTATTGCTTTTACTAAAACAGCTAAGGTTATGATTCAAGAAGCTGAAGACAAATATGAAAGTGATAAATATAAAAATGAATATTTAGAAGAATATCCTATTTATTTATTTGATGATATTAATTCAGAAGAATTAGAATTGGATGACAAATTAGGATTTAATCTTTGGTCTGACCATTACTCTCCTATTAAATCAGAAGAGGATACTAATAATAATGAAAAATTGAATGAATAACCAAAAGATAATCCAGCTACTTATCTGGCTGAAATCATTAAATACTCAATCAAAACTGACCCAACTTATCTTGAATAACTAGGACTCTTGGATTATTACTAACAGCAAATTTTTATGAACCTCTTGGGAGAATATTATGATATTTATACAAGAAGTCAAACAGAGATAAGATGAATAACAGAAATTAAACATTATATTTATACTGAAAATGCTATGCTAATTGCTTAAAAACCATATTGTATGAATCCTGAAAACTCTAGATTCTTGAATAGAGAACTAAAGAAAATGAAAGAGAATAGTATAATTCAACTTTTTA